CGGGGACTTCCTACCCTGCAGAGACCACCCGGCGGGGAGACCCGCAGAGAGGGCTGCCGCCCTCTGACCAGGAGAAAGTGTTCCCGCCACCCCGAGACCAGGCCACTCCTGCCTGCGAGGCGCCCACCTCGCGCGCTCGGCCCGGTTGACCCACTGCGTCTCGTACCCCGCCCCCCATCCCGAACAATGCGCGGAAAATCCCGGGCGGCTGTGCCTGCGGTTGTCGCGGCTCCTCGCGGGAGTGAGATACACCCCAGCAGCCACCCCTGAAAATAGCCCCCTGGAAACTCCTCCGAGGGCCGGAACGGGGAAGGTCGGGATGGAGGGAACTCCTCCGCTTAAAGACAGAAGGGTGGGAGGAGATGGTGGGACGCACCCAGGGAGTCGAAAAAAGGGAGAGGCAAAACCCAATAGCCCTGGACCGCGCAGTCCTGGAGTCCCGGGACAACCGCATCTCGTCTCCCGCAGGGATCTCCTTCTGTCCCGACAGAGCCAGAACTGCACGGGGATCGCCCAGCAGCAGGTTCCGGAGAGACTTAGTGTGGATGCTCCGCCTACCATTTCGTGCAGTGCATAAACGAGTTGATGGTGCACGTTGAAACCACCTGTTGTTTGAAGAGTAAGGGGGTAGGAGTGTCCCTCATTTGTTCATCCGAATTCTGTTTTTCTGTTTTCCGTTCTCCCGCCCGATTTCAGAAGGAAAAGACAAACTGACATCTTGAGAGCTAGCAGCTCCCGCTATGGAAAACCTTCGGCCCAGGGTGGCAGGGGAGGTGGCGGAGTGGGAGGGCTAGTGAGGGAGTACAGATAAGATTAAGTGCTACAGAGTCTTCTGGGAATGCTTTAGCAATACTTTTTGCACAGTATTCTAAATGCACCAGAAATTAATCTCTTGCTTTTTCCTGGCAGTCCGGAAAAGACCAGTGGATGTGAGCAGAGAGATGATAGACAACCTAGTAGTCATTCACAGCATAGTCTGTTCACAGCCAGTCCTCAGAAAGCAGTCACCTCAATTACCCTATTTTACTTACAAGTCAAAATGGAAAGAAAATCTGCCCAAAAGCTGTTCTCTCGTGCTTGTAACTGCTCTTTCCC